GTGTGTGTGTGTGTGCGTGCGTGCGTGCGTGCGTGCGTGTGGTGTATTAGTGCACATTCTAGCTATTTAGTTTATTTTTGGTATCTTATTGTATGCAGCTTATCGATGTATACGTGGGCTATATATTTGGCTATACACGTATATCTACGTTAGTAGTGTATGCATTCAATTACGTGTGTGTATGTATTATAGCAGTTAACTTTACATTTCACTCCGTTCAATTAATCATAGCCATTATACTATTACGCATTAGTGTAGTGAACTTCTACGGGAGCGTTCCTGTTTAGAGGTTTGACTATAAGGAACAAAACACGGGATTTTCTGTCATGAAGTATATATATTTTTAGCTACTACATATTCACAGTACATATAAATACACGTACAAACAACGGAGTCGGACAAAAATTGACAATCTCAGAATGGTATCGTTGATCAATGAACATTATTTTAAGCAATTGTAACATTTATAAGGCCATCCTCTTCTATTCGCTTCTACCGTCTTCTTCGCGTCATATACCATATAGGGGTCCGCCACCACAGTGCATATACATGTGTGCATAACTGCAGGTGCGGTGTATTTACACGGGTATGTATCATGAGAGAGAAATTCAGTCTCCTACTCATCGTGCGTTTGGGCATTAATTTGGTTTGAGCCGTTGTTTCGCATCTGGGCCGACAGATGGCAGGACATGGCACGGCAGGACGAGCGCGCGCGAGACGTTAGTTAAAATATAGGTAACTTCAGACTTTTCGCCTTCTCGTGCGTTTACTTTACTTCACTTGGTTTACGCTTGTATGTTCCATTTTCGAACGCCGTCGTCCAGTTGTTGCGCATGCGCGCGATTCACTCTAGCTAGGCACGCCCGAGAAACAAGTCAGCATCGCGCGTGCCATATCCTGCCGGCACAGCTCGATTCGCAGTTTAGTGGCCGCCGTAGGCACCCCCGTAGCCAGCGGCTCCGTATCCAGCGTTGCCATAGGCACCGTTGCCATAGGCACCGTTGCCATAGCCAGCGCCGGCATTGCCTCCGTATCCAGCGTTGCCATAGCCACCGTCGGCGTAGCCGCCGTAGCCGACGTCGGCGTATCCGATGATGGGGCCGGACTCGCTGTAGCTGTACAGCTTCTTGGGCTGGTAGTACTTGTGTCCCTCTCTGGAAGATAAGTGAGAGTGTTATTAGAGAGGCGGGTTACAATAGTTGCGTGTGAGCTGTAGACCAGTACGGCGTAGCGTGATCTATGTGTCGTCACACGGCATTGTGCAGACGTAGATGCCCGTTACACAGGATAATTACACGTGTAATCTGCTCGTATAATCATCTCAATCTAAGCCTTAGGCTCCATGCACCGCTCATCCCCGTGCTGGCCAACGACTGGCCGATTGCCTGTATACTTCGAGCAGCAATAATAATAATTAATAAATACATATATTTGTGTGTATATGTATATATATATGTGTGTGTGTGTGTGTGTGTGTGCGTGCGTGCGTGCGTGCGTGCGTGCGTGCGTGTATGTGTGTGTGTACGTGCGTGCGTGCGTGCGTGCGTGCGTGCGTGCGTGTATGTGTGTGTGTACGTGCGTGCGTGCGCGCGCGTGTGTTTGTGTGTCTAGACACAGATAAATATGCATTCACCATAATATGTCACTTGTCTCCTACAATGTCGCTAGTGTGTAATATGCCAGCGTTGTAAATCACATGTAATGAATGTTATAGGGGTGGGGTGAGTCAGGGACACTCGTTACAGCGTTTTTCACTGTTACTCGTTTAGCCAGCAGCGAGTAGGATATGCATGGTGTGCGAGTATCCACGAGTCCATTAGCGTGTGCGTGTGTGCGTGCGTGTGTGTGTGTGTGTGTGTGTGTGTGTGTGTGTGTGTGTGTGT